TCCCTACATCCTTTGAACTTCTCATTTCACATCTGGAGGAAGGTTTCACCTCATCTGCAGTGCTGAGATAGTTAATCTGAATTGCAACTCATTATCCCTTTACTAGGATTATCTTTACGAGCTAACACAAAATGCTTCAAATATACAACCAGCTTTTGTAAGGATAATCTGATGTAAGCAATAAAGTACAGTGGCACAGTTACTACCAGCAGACTACTTTTCAGAAACATTTCATAGCTCACCTCCAAAAGAACAAGAGTTGGAACTAAATTAATATTATTACTGGATTCTAAAAATCAAGGACTCAAAAAAAGTAATTTCACATGCCACAAAACATTATCTAGTGTAAACTGATAATTTAATTTTTTTTTTTCAAAAAAATGTTGACAGACTAATTTTTACCCAGCAGGCTTTACATTACACCAGGTATTAACTGTACTCCCATAACTTGCTACTGCTAACATTGTCTTCCACAAACTCAGAAGTGTTAGCAAAAAATTCCTGAACATGCAGAACAAATTTAGTAGAAATAAGGAGGATGCTTTTAAAGCTGAAAGAGGTTTTACCTCTGCTCTTAGTTAAGATATTGTTTTGATAGGTACAGAACAGAGCAAAGGAGTGAGAAGAACCCAACCAAAGGCATGCATTAAGGAGAGAGTGAGTGTCACATGGTCCTATGAGAAAAGGATAACCAAGTATGAATGTTTTAGAAGAATTGTGTTAATCTCTTTGATGCATGACCTGCGTTTTTAGTCATCTTCATGTTAATCAGTTAGTATGAGGATCCAATTTCAGAGTATTTTGGGCAAGAGAAAGACATAGAGAATTGTTTTACCTTTTATAAAAATGTTCATTTAATATTTAATAGGAGATATGAGTATTAGATATTAAATTTCATTACTTTTGTCTGGAAATAATTTGTATTTAAATTTAGGATGAAACTCTAATATTTCTTTTTTTTAATGAATTTTACATTAGTCTTATTACATTTTCTAACATGATCATCTCAACAGAACTAGTAGCTTCCATCATCTGTTTCCATATTGCAATTTCAATAACCTACATGGTAAAGCAATACAAAAATGAAACACAATTTGGCAATTTGAAAACAATACAAAAGAACAGAAAAAGCTACCAATTGCAGTATGTCTTCATTTTAAAGCTCAACTGACAACACAGCAATGCCTGTAATTATGTATTGTAACTTCTACAATACCTGAAACCTGCTGTCTGTGATGCTTTCAACTTCACCACTATCAGTTATAACCTTAAGGAACTTATTTATTTATTAAAACTTCAATTTTAATATCAAAGTATAAATGTGTCCCCTTGTTAAGGAAAAGTATTTTTAATTATCTGAATTGCTTTAAATATGCTTTGAAGTTGAATGAACAAATTTGTATTTTAACCACAGAATCCTGACAACTAAATCTTTCATTTTTTTCTTTTTAAAGCAAAAAATCAGACTTTTCTTTTTACACTAATGGGGAAAAAAAAAATAACAACTAAGGAAAGAAACTATTTACAGCTTCAATGTTATGTTACAATTATGATTTCATAAAATTTGTGCAGTACAAACTTTACCTCAATCAATTTTCTTTCATAAGAGCTGGCTAGTTCCTCGTTGTTTTCTACTTGTTTTTGCTCTGGAATAGTAAATTCACCATCAGTGCTCCCAATGTTTGGCAAAACTAAAACAAAGAGATACCTCAAATTAAAATGTTAAATTACATAAACATCTCAGGCAATTTGCGTCGAAGTAACAGCTCTAAAAGAAACAGTTGTTAGAAGTATCAAAATAGGATGGAATATTGAACAGTATTACAAACACTAAAATGTAAACGTTGCAGGGAGCTTTCTTGTGAACAATATTTAGACAGCTACTCTAAACAGAAAAAAAAAATCAAATTAAAAGCATTTGGCTGTTCCAGGACTACAACTATCTAATATCAGTAGGTATATATTAGCAGTTGCTACCCAAAACCTTTGAAAACAAAGCCTCTGCTTCTCTTTTGAATCTTGTTTTGACTTCTCTTCCAAAATATCATTTCATATTACTTGCACAGACTACTTACATATCATAGAAATCACAGAAAATAGGGCTGAGAATGGACACTCCATACTTTGTTCTAGTATTTCATGTTTTTGCATAAAGCACAATCAGTTGTATTTATTTCATTCCTGACAGTTAATTGTCTAATTTATTCCTAGAAACCTCCAGTAATGGAGATTTTATGCTTCCTTGCACAATCTATTTAAATTTAAGTAGTATTCTCAGAAAGGTTTTCTTGATAGCTAATCAAACTTCCTTCACCTGCCATTTAATTCCATTACTTCTTTTCTTATCCACAGTGAATGAAAACTACAGTTTATTCTATTTCTGTTCCATCATTTAAGTATTTGATGATCACTTTAAGGGCTAATCTAAGTAAGTCTCCTCTTCTCCAGGTTATACAAAGTCCAATTCAACTTTTCCTCATACATCACGAATTTCTAAAAAAACCCAAGTTAGCACATACAAAGTAAACAAGCCCTAAAAAAAGAGAGGTTTAACAAATGCTTTCACCGTTTTTCAAAATCTAAACTATATGCACAACCACTATGAGGTAGATAGAAGACATCGTAATTCATCTGACTAAATACTCTTGAGCCCAGGAACCGATTATTGCATCGAGGAAAAATATATGTATTCAAAAGTTTCCTACTATTGTAAGTAAATTTTGAAAGCTATTTAAGAGTTATTTCTTGGAAATACTGCTTGAAGTTCTTCAGCCAGAAACTTCTAAGATCAGCATTTTCATATACATAATATTATTGTACCTAAGTGGATTTGAAAAACAGTACACATCCAACTCTTGCTGATGCCTGAGAAATCAGGATGTTCGTTTATTAAATATTTAAATATCAACATCAAACTGCTCAGTTTACGGCAGTGATGGCTCATTTTGAAAGCTGGTATGATATTCTGAACTTGACACAGTTCTGACTCTTGGCAATTTATTTATAATTATATTTGCTGAGTACTTTTTTGTTGTTTTTTTAAGTCACGGCAAAGCAAAGTATTAGGCTGAGTTTCACTTATTATTTTAGGAAACTATTTAAAAGCCATACCCAATAGCATCTGATTTGATTATTGCAGCAAACATGTAGATTCTTCTCTACTTATAGTCATAAAAATAACAGCAGAAGCTCAATTTATTTTGACTCCTTCAAAATAGTTTCACAGAAAGTCTAAACACATAGTGTTCTAACATCTACAGTACATTTAAGACTTTTGTTTTGATACCATTTGGAAGAAGATTAATCACCACTGAAATTACTCATTATGATAACATAGCGCAGCAGTGAAATTAGTTGTATGCAACAGTTTATGCCTCCCTGCTGAAGAAAATTTCCTAACATCACAGCAAAAGAGAACAGCTGGAAGTTTTCCAAGTTTAAACAGATCAGAACTCTATGTCCTTGTCTGCATGTAAGGCTGGTTAGAAGTTAACAACCTTAATCTATGAGCGTCTGAATTAATATATAAGAAACTAACAAGAATTTTAACTTAAAATGACAACAGAAGAGAGAACAGTAGTTTCCTCATCCTATTTTCTTCACAAAATTGTCACAATCTCAGAACACAGTAATAAAACAGGTCTTGTAAATATACTCTGTAATCCTTTTAAGCACGTAAGCTAATTAAGAACAAAATTACTTAAGACAAGTTGCTACGGTCACTTTAAGTTATACTACAATTGGAATTCAATAATTTGCCTTAAGTTACACAATAATATATGTACTGAAAAGTTCAAATAGCTCTTTCTAATAATGCAAATATTCTTAATTATGAAGGTTCGCATCTGAAAAAACATGAACGCCTACAATGAGGTAGTGCAAGTTACATATATAAACCATGGGTGCAATACTTTTTATAAATCTGATAAAAGAAAAACCTTTTTTTTCTTCACCCTCCTTTTTTGAAGTTGATCTAAACATATTAGTTCTCAGGGATTATTTACATGCTTAAGTACTTTTTGAGTCAGAGGCCCCAGTACTACTAAAAATTTCACATAAATCTCCAACGGTAGCTAAGAAAAACAATATATTTGGTTTTATAAAAATACAATGTGTGAAGTTTGAATGTAATAAAAATTATTAAAAATAGTGCATCTAGCTGTAATTTACTCTGGTCACTAATGATAAATATTACAGAAAATTATTGTGGATTGATTGAATATCTTTTGAACATGAAGCATACATATATTCATTTTCAGAAGTGTTGGTACTGTTCCATCCCCCTTTACATCTCTAAAATCTGACCATCCTACTCAGTTTCTATTCTTATCACTCATTAATCTGCATAATTTTAACATGGCAGAATATAGCTAGCCTAGGAATATTTTTTTTGCTTTTCCTATAATTACACTCATCATGGAAACTGTCAGTATCTAATGAAGGATAATTTCTGCTATTATAAGAAGCTTAAGTGATGGTTTTCTTGAATCATTCTTAATATGAATCACTACACTCCAGCAAAGTCGGAAGCAAAAACATGTGTTCTCACTAACAAAAATCCTTTTAAGAATGAATGAAGTTTTTAAACTACAGATAAGTATAGTGACTAGCCCTTAAGAGCAGAATTAATATAGCATTCATTCATACAGCCACTTATATGACCACAATACTGACAATTAAAAAAAGGGTGCCAATTTCTGAAAAGCCACCTTCTCCCTCAAAACACCTTCTGTAGTTACTGGCAATACAGGTCCCACCAGAAGATGATTCAGAAGCAAGACTCCAGTTCATCCTGTTATGGACACTTCTATCACCACTGACCACTGCAGGAAAGCAGGTAACACTGCTGATAACTTAATCGTTATATTTCAGATACAAAATCTGCTCATTAGAGTCAGAGCAACTTAGCAAAGTAAGTGAAACGTCTGGCCTTAATACAAAGTCTGTTTCCAACAGTCTGCAAATACAGATTTCCAAAACAACACTAACAGTATAACCTAGAGATACTACATTTTCTCCCCTCAAAATAATTATTCTTATGTTCCAGTATTATATTAATTGATAGATTATTTTTTAACTTGTATTTTCATCTGATACTTTTTTCCAATATGAAACTTTCCAGAAAAAGCTAAGACCACTCCATCTACTGGAAAACATGCTGTAAAAATAAGTGCAAAAATCCACATCAGTATTTATTGCAAAAGGAAAAGATACTAAATATGTTATTTTCACTGTTGGGAGATATTACTCTACCATGGATGGAAGAGATGAATAGGGCCTATAATTATCTCTTGCTAACCCCACTGTCATGAAAATTATTTCATTTGTTTTGGTGAAGACTCAGCAAGGAAAGCAAAGACTTCTTGATTATTTCTACTCAGCAGTAATTTGATAGTATGCCATCATATAACATTCCTTTTGTTTGACATCAATCTGCTTTACAAAACTGTTCACACAACAGCAAATAGCCCAGTCAGAGATGCAACAGGGACAGCTCTCACAAAAAGAGAACTGTCATCTTTTCAGATGCTGATATTTTCCAACAGGAGGAGTGCTGATGTCAGACTGGGTAGCATGTGGAAGCATAAACCATGTCCCCAGCTACACTAGTTATTGTTTTGTGTGACTGAAGTGTTGGTTATGGACCAGGGCTTGCACAGCATTGGGTGGCTGGTTATCTAGAGAGATCCATTCCAGAATCAATCAGAAAGAAAAAAAAAAAACCAAAAAAAACCAAACAAAACCAAAACCCACACAGATTCTTTGTAAACCAGACATGGTTGTTCACTGGTTATTCTTTTATTGTCAGTAAAAGTCCAGGAGTCACTTCCATCATTTGGTTACTATACCTATGCCTCCAATAAACTGTGTCTCAATGGCAGCATACAGAAAAACAAACCTTGTGCATAGGTTTGTTTTTTTTTTTCCCCTTCATTTTGTCCTTACCTTCCACTGTTTGACCTTCTCTTCTGAGCATCTGGACAGCTCCTACATACTTCTTAAGTTGCACTTTTAGCACCTCATTTTCTCTGTTGAGAAAAAGAATAGAATAAATAAAAATTCTTGTTTTCTCAAAATAGATAAACACAATGCTTTCAGCATCTTTTGAAGTGCTCCAAAGAATTCCACATTCTGTGCTTAAGAATAAGTCACAAGAATGTAAGTATAAGTTGAAGGGGATAGGGGAAAAAAAAGAAAAAAAAATCAGGCTGAAATACATGGGAAAACAGAACTATGCCACTAAAAGCACACCAATCTCCAAAACCTCAGTTATAAAAAAATCTCCCTGACTGATCACTTCTCCTATGTTAATAAGTAGCTGAAAGTCAGAAGGATAATGTCATTTTACCTATATAGTAGATGACAATCTAGTATTTCTACAAATTACCCTCTTTGCTCAAATGGCACAGGACTAGTATGTGTCATTGATTAAGCTTTATACCATTGTTGATTACTCATGCAGAATGATGATACAAGACATACTTTTCTTTGGTTGTTTGATTATAAAACTAGAAAACTGCACATTAAAAGCTACATTGAAAAAATCCTAAGGTTTGAAATTCAATCACAAAAAAAAAAAAATGGACTTAAAGCATCCTATGAAACAGAATTTAACTCTTCTCCAGGTCTCTATCATTTATTATTATTATTTGGGTACACATAAGAAGGAGATTAGCAAAATATCTTTCAAGTTTTATGTCTTCAAGACAAAGAAAAAAACATATGCATTTCTCCACTTTTTTTCCTTAAGACAAATACAAAGTTAGTTTCTGATAGAGTAGATTTATCTCCAAAATCTCTCCAAAATTATTAAGAAAGAAATACAAATACATTTAAATACAGTAACTTTTAAATGCCACACATATGTAACAGCAGGATAAATTTTATTCTATCCGAAGTTTTTTAAGCAACTGTAGGAGTTCGTTCATAGTTCTGTGACTATTCTCCAAAGAAAACCAGATAAAGAAATATCCAGGTTCCAATAAACACTTTATTTACAAGCTAACCCAGTAAGGATCAAACTTTTATAGCAGAGTATATTTTATTCTGTAGCACTTTTATCCAGTGAAATTACTTAAGGCGCAACTAAACTCTGTAGTTATTTTCTGCTTTAGTACTTTTCCTGAAGATAAATCAGAGTATTACAAAATTATGTGTATCTACTCTCAGCCATTAATAGTGTCTTTGCTTAAAAACAGAGGAAAAATACAATACTAATTATGGTAACAAAATCAGTCATAATAAAAACTGTAAGCAAAGAGAAAAAGAACATTAAAATCTTAATTAGTGATACAGGAGTAACTTTTATCAATTTTCTAAAACGGAAGAAATCACTTCATAAAAATCCCTAAAATTGTAAATATTTCTATTGTCATTCACACTTCAAAATTCATCAGAAACAACTATATGTATTCACAAATTATAGGGAAAATCTTAAGGATCCTACTAAACTCCTGTACAGAAACCAGAGTCAGAAAAAGGAAGAACAGTAAATTCCTTTAAGAGTATGCACATGGTAAGGGCTTGTTTACATGGACATTACTAGTGTAAGGTATCCTTCTTGTCGAAGCTATGAAATACACATTAATAGGAAAGGATTTACTTTTTAATGGCAATGTTTACTGACATTGATCATACTAATACAGAAACAAAATACTGTTTTACTGAAAAGAAACTTTCTTTAAATATTCATGAATGGTACACAGTCACAGAACCCCTTAGCGGGAACAAACTTGCTTATTTATTATCTTTTCTGGAAAACTATCTGGAATGACAAGGAATGATCAACTATATAATACATGTAAGCTGTCAAATACCTTCAATTCCCTGCCTAACATTGAAGCAAAACTAATTACACCTCTTCTCAATTTTATTATTTAAAAATTAGCATTTGAGGAAACCCTGCCTAAAAGAAAACTAAAACTACTGTAAGAATGGTAATTTTTTTTAGCAGCATAAAACAAGTTTGCATTTTAGGAAACATATACCTGACTTTTATGTGTATAAGGAATGAAAAGATAGCATGCAATATTACTGATGAATGCATATCCTCACCAACAAGCTAATTCATGCCAGGAAAAGTAGCAACTGTTCCCTAAGGACTCTCATATCAAGAGGATGAATATAACAGGACAACAAGCAGCATGTTCTCACATCGAAGGGAGGACAGCATGGAAAAGAGATGCGATTCATACGGAACACAGCAGCAGATCAGCCTCCCTGCTGGGACTTCTGCTGCATTCTTGGAGAAGGACCAAGGCCCTGCAGGTAAAAATCTCTCCCACCTTTCTCGTGCTATAGCATCCCTTTTAAAAACTATCATTATGGGGGGACAAGGGGAGTTGGAAGAGGTTGGTTATTTTCCAGTAGTGTCCACAAAGTATCCACAGACAGAAAAGCTTATTGAAGCATATATATATATATATACACACACACACACACACACCCCCAAGCACAGTTAAGGTCTGCTATGCCAGTCGAATTAGACGCATCTTATGTTCTTTAAAATAAGATTTCTGGCTGTTAATACAAATGAATACCAAAAAGAGTGTTTTATAAAAGCTGACTTCCAAAAAGTTTATTAAAAGGTTAAAGAACAATATAATCTTTAAGTTATGACTTTATTGTAGAGAAGAGGCCTTATAGGCCTTATTTCCCTATACCTTAACAAGGAAAAAAAAAAAAAAAACACACAAAACCCACATAACTGCTTCTTGAAAAAGATACAAAAATTCCTCTAGGCCTTCTGTAAATCACACATGGTAAGAAATGAACTTGAAAAAAAGTAATTTCTCGTGTATCTTAACTATAGTGGCATGAAGAATGCTGCAAATAAGTTTCTGGCACAAACCTCAGATACTAACAAGTGCTTTCTGTGGAGCTTACTCCTAAAACGTGTCTTATTTCTGAATTCAGGCTTACAAAAAAAAACAAAGAACCAAACCAACCACAAAAATCCAACAGATGTCTATGTCTTGATAAAAACACAGTGTCTTAGAAAACACTATAAAGGTACCAAATCTCAAAAAAATAAAAAGATGCATGAATCTGACTCTAGTTATGAGAGAGTTTTTCAAGGTAAACAGTGAGATTTCGCTATCACAAAATATCTGAACCTTAGCTTCCTCTCACCTAGAGTATTATGCAGAACTTAAAGTATTTCCAAAATTTTTGTTATTTCAGATTCTTCAAATTATTCAGCTTTCTCAAATTCCTGGTTTAAAATATTACTTATTTTTAAAAATGTACTACTCTTACTACTGCAGCAGCATCACCTATAGTGCACAAAATAAACCAACAAAAGAATTCAGAAGAAACATCTATATTCCAAAATAACTATATGCAAAATTTCTTATGTGCTGGAAAATGAGTTGCAATGAATCATTAAAGAAATGCAACCAAAGTCCAAAATAACTGCCGACACAAGAATTTGTTGTACCTAAGCAGCTCCCAACATTGTTTTTATCATATGACAAAGTAAAACGACTTTCAGAATAAGAATCAACACAACATACTCAATTTAATTTCACTTATTGCTATGGAGACTAACATTTAAAAACAACAAGTTAGTCTAAGTGAGCATCTCTTTAGATCTTGTTATAAAAGCTCCTTATCTATTCTTTAAAAAGGTATGTGCATGACAAATACCTGATTCACCCATATGTCACTGCAAATTCTAAAACTGTGGGGGAAGAGAGTCAAAGAAATATGCTTATACAATTCCTGTAACCTGAAACGTGAATATTAAACGACGAAGAATTTGCATTGTCTCAATTGCCCTACATCCCATGAATGTCAAACCCACTTATGCATATCTCTCCCTCTCTCCAAGTGAGTAGTTCGGTTTGATGTGTCATCAAAAGCAGAATTAGTAATGTTCTAAGTACTTTTTTTGTTTTAAAAGAAAGCTTTATATTTATCATTTTCAGATACTAGTTCTGCTATGCAATAAAGAGCTTATAGGAATCTCAACGGCGGTACTTCACGACAGACACTGAGCACTCTGCCCGCACACGCAGAAAACAAACACTTCTCCCTGTGATAAGGCACAGGTTACTAATCTTATTTACCATTCGGGGCATATTTGTTGTTTGCAATACATGTGACTCATCCCCAAGATATTAGGCATCATAGCTTACTCTAGAGCTTATTTAGAATTATAAGAAAAGCACACTATTACTGTAGCATTTACTTTCAAAAGTCTTTCTTAGGCTAAATCCTATTTAGACAAGGGGAAGGTTAAAATTCTTTTCTTCCAGCATAGCTATGGCACAAAGGCAAGCTGGAGGGAAGTCTCTACTGGGGTCAATGTTGTTTAACATCTTCTTTAATGACCTGGATGCTGGGACAGAGTGCACCCTCAGCAAGTTCACAGACAATGCAAAACTGGGGAGCAGCTGATACACAGAATGGTTGTGCTGCTGTTCAGAGGGACCTGGACAGGCAGAAGAATTGGACTCAGATGAACTCCTTGAAGTTCAACAAGGGGACGTGCAAAATCCTGCATCTGCAGAGCAGCCATGCTCCCTAGGCACCCATACATGCTGGGGGCTAGAACGCAGCTCTACAGAGAAGAATCTGGGAGTCCTGGTGAACAACAAGCTGACCTGGAGCCAGCAATGCACCCTTCACAGCAAAGAAAGCCAATAGCATCTTGCACCATGTTAGGAAGAGCACTGCCAATGGGTCACTGTCAAAAACATTGTCCAGAGGGGCTGTGGAGTCTCCATCTGTGGAGATATTCAAAACCTGACTGGACACGACCCTGAGCAACCTCTTCCAGATGACCTTCCTCACACTAGGGGAAAGCAGTTCCACCACTTCAGAAATTGGTACTGTTGATACCAATTGGTAACAACTGTTGCTTATGATACAGTGGTTGATAAAGCGGTCAGCCATGAAAACCTGACAATAGGACAAGAAAAAAAAACATCAGCCCAAAGAAATCAAACTCATGCTTAAACAATCAGATAGAAGGAAGACAGATTAGATGGAAATGTCACTGAACAGTATGGAAAATCCACTTTACTGCTTAAATATGTGAGTGTACATATAGAAGGGTATCTGTGTCAGCAGCAGCTGACACTGACATATTCTATATAACTGAAGGCAATAAAGACACACAAATATTCCTACTCAATTTAACTGACACTAGGACCACTCAGCACAATTTCTACTGACTGAAGTAAGAACTTGCTGGGAGGAGAGAGGTCCCCATACTAATCTCAGTGTGGAACCATACAAGACATACACTAGAGGAAATACTGAAGAGTAATATTAAAATGAAATAATCTCCAAAACAAGTCCTCACTGGCTCCAGATCTGAGAGCTAGAATCTCAACAATCTAGCCTGTGCATTTCGAAAAAAAACCTACGCCTTACGCATGCACCAAAGCAGTCATTTCCACTACTAGAATGAGTATTTCATTATTCTGGGACAGCAACATCAGTCTGTTCACAACAAACACTGACACGTCATTTCTGTTGACTCCCCGCTCCCTTATATTTAAAGGCTGTTATCAGATTTGAGGTTTGGAAAATACTGTTTGCAGACAGTGCTAGGTACTCTAACACCATTAAGAACATCATATAACCAACATAAGGAAAAAATCAGGACCTTGACATTGCGATTTATATCAGACTGGGCAGACAGCTATACCAAGAATCTCCCAAGTATCAAGTAAAATAAAAACTAATTTAAAAAAAAAAAGGTAGAGGGGTTAGAACTGCACAAAATAGATATATGAAGAGAGAAAAGTCTTCTTACATTTATCTTAAACATACATGTATTTCTTTGTATCTAATCGCCATTATTTTCATGGCTTTTATTTCTTAATATCATTCTGATTACCTTTTATAATTAAACTTGATATTGTCCTAAGTTCTGCTAATTTTCTTTCCTCTGGAGCTGTAACAGTGGTTTTATTAACATTTTAAACTCTCATTCACTGTTAACAACAAAACAAAAATCACAAACTCACTGAATTTGTCAGAAAATCTTCCAAAGGTTTTTTCCAGCTTAAATTCAACTGAAGTCCATGGGATTTTTAGTCCTAAATCACTTACGTTCCTCTGAATACTAAACTACTTGAAAATGATTTTTTCTTGTATGCAGAATTTTTTATTCTCTTGCTCCACTGCTGTTACTTTTTAACGACCCTTTTAGTGCTTCTCACCGTGCCAAGGCTTGGACTTTTGTGGCATGTCGCTCTTCCTGTTCTGCTACTTTCCTTCTCCAGTTGTCCATTTCCTGCCTTAGCGCTGCAGAATGCTCCATCTCTCCATCAAGCAGATTTCTCAGAGATCTGGAAGAAGGCAGCAGCCTCTGTTAGAACACTGCAAACGCTACCTATCAATTAGAGCACACTACGAATCACAGAGCAGGTTTCTTGAATGATACCATTAATCTAATCCTAAAATTTCATTATTCAATGTAATAAATTCACCTGATTTGATTATACAAAGATATGAAAAGCTACAATCATAACAGTTCTAAATGCTTGCTATTAATTTGCATTACCATCTCAGCAACATGTCCAAAGCACAATCTATTCCAGTATCTACTGTACCATCATGCAGAAAGAATTTATGACAGAAAACAGTTTATAATCTGGTTTCAGTGCTTCTGTGCAAGTCCATACATCCCAGGAATAATCTATAAGCAATATATTTACTAGCAAGAGCAGGAGACAGGTAGGAGGTTTGTCTCTACTGAGAGCACTGCCATAGATCTCTGTGCAAAACCTCTGATGAGATAGCAAAGGTCAGTATGATGCCTATCAGTAAAACTCAAAGCATCCTGGTCCTTTTGCCAAAAAACACAAAGCTGAATGGGGCAATAACTTGTAATTATGGGAGTGGCGAGGATAAGAGGCAGGAAAATGGGATCAGTCCGGTAGTCTTGATATTAAAATAAAATAAATTTAAAAATCTATAGAAAAACGTTCATTACCAAAGTAGCCCTACTTCGGCATAACAGTATCTCTTGAATACATCTGTATGTTCATTCATCTAATCATGTGTTCCAATTGGCTAAATAAATGCAATCAAACAAGGTTTGATTGCATTTTAAATAAGCGACTTATCATTTTTACATTTACAAGATCATTTTGTCTCAAGTAAACATAAAGACACTCACAAATGACAGCCACTTTCAGCGTAATATTGTTAGCCATCCTACATCACTTCTGCACGAGAAGGGAAAAAAAGGAAATTGTCTGAATATTTGTACAAAGACAAACTTCTACTATTTTGGAAAACTATCTTAAGAGACCTTAAGAGTCTTTTAGCTATAAGTTTTGGTTTTGAAAAAAACTACAACTGGCAAAAGCTTCCAAGATAAAAAGTTATATGGGATTCGAATTCAAAGGAAAAAGTTGACCTGCAAACATTACTCTTCAGTATCAACAGCTGAATATTGAAGTATTAAGCTTACCTTTCACAGAAAAACAATATATAGACCAAAAAGACTACACAAAGATTATGCATAGCTTTACATAAAGGACAGCTTGTATTAGAGAACAGATTTTTTTTTTTTTTAATTATAGTGCCTCTTGACTAGAAAAATAAAACTACCTATTCTGTTCTTCCAGTTCATCCTTTCTATTCATCATGGCCACAATAGCTTGACGAAGTTCATCTAAAGAGAAAGGACAAAAAAAGATTAATGTCTGTGTGTATTTTTGCTCATTTCACATCTAAAAGTCAGGTACATAGGGGCACTAATTCAGCAACACACTTAAGATGATGCCAACATCATTTGCTATTCAGCAAAGACATAAAAATGCTCTTAATCTCATCACTAATTTGAGCAATCTTTCAAAAATGGTATTATTTAACACAGTATCAGAACTATTGATCAAATTAAATTAGTCTGCATCTGGCTTTAATACAAATGTTTACAAGTTTGCCTGTGGCTGCAGCTGTTTTGTTTCACTTGCAGAGGTATGAGACTATGCACCTTTCCACTACATGCATATTCATCACATACATTGTTACTTGTTTAACTTTTTCAAATTGCTTGTTTTCCTTGCTATAAATTCTGACACGGGAGTAGAGAGAATGTCATTGCTGCATCATAGCATTTCTTCCCAAGCTCAGTCTTAAAGATGCCTTAAAGACAACAGGATTTCTGAATCTTCTCATTTCCTGTAAAAATCTTTTTATTTTCTATAAATCCATTAAAAAGTACTTTTTTTCATTACATCAAGAAAAAAAAAATTTAAAAATTATGACAGAATTTTAGAATTTTTAAAGACTTCTTTAGGGTTAGGTTTAACAGCAATACCAGAGCAGCCAAATACTGTTCAGAAAAGCATCAGCTCAAAGCGCTGCCTCACCTGGATCCCTTCTCCTATTATGTGGTTCTAGCACATAACTGTACAGCTGTACTATTACTATTCACTGTAAGTTTACAGAAAAATATTAGGACTTAATTTTAAAATCTAAAACAGATTCTGACTTGCAGATCTTGCAGGAATACATGAAATACAACAGCTCTTCAAAGGTATGAACGGCTTCTAGCAAACATCAGGATGGACACATGTCCTAAACCAGATTTTAAAAAAAAATTTCATTAACAATTTCACAGATGCTAATCAATAATTTTACGAGAGCTTCTTCAGTGACATAATTACATTAAAACATCCCTCCCGACAACTAAATGAAATACTCCTATGTTTATATATAATAAATCAGACAATTGTGTTCCACAAGTATTCAAAGCAGATGTCAGCAAATTTTTTGTGCTTTTACTGAAAATATACTAACAGAACTGGTATTACTTAATTTCTTCAAGTAAGTAAAGCCATTGGAAAAGTTTTTTTCCCCTTTCGATTCAGTCCACTGATCTACTTGTACCTTTCTTAATATTTTCTGTAGTTACAGACATTTTTGCCAGTTAAAAAAAAAAAACAACTTAACATTGTCCTGTGGACCAGATTAAATCTGCTAAACTCTGTAGCGGACAAAACATGAAAGCTTTTACTATGTCAATCAAATGTATCAGCCAGTGCAGACATCACAATTCCAGTCTGGCACTGGTAATCTGCTGGTAAACTCCCCCCTTGCAGGATTCAGCAAGGTTCTCATCTCACTTGAAATCAGCCTATCCGATTTCTTCATGCTAGATTTTTTCCAAAACATTTCTGCTTCTTTGGCCATGGAGAAAGTAGACAATTATTTTCCTACCCATTCCACATTACAGCTTAAGAACCAACTGACATTAGGAAGAAACATTTTAGTAGGTCATTAGAGGGATTTTGCACTCCATTAATTCAGCACAGAAAAAATAATTTTTGTCCTACAGTAACTTAGCATCTTTATATGAGCTCTCTACACAGCTATCAAAAAATAAAAAATTCTAATCGTGTAGAAAAGCCAAACGTGAAATTTGTGGGTATTAAATACTAACACACATTAAAAAATAATAATAAAAAAAAATCTGGAGACTTCTGCTCTCTCTCTCAATAATATTACTCATATTCAAAACCAAAGCTGTGATTATATGGCTACTTTAATCAGTCTTCCTAAGGCTGTGCTTTCAGCAAAAAGGACATTCCAGCTTGCCTTACCCATCACGGCTACCACCTGCCTTGTTCTGCCACTGGTGTTTAAACACACAGTGTCCCAGCTCAAAAGTGGTTTTGGTTTTGCTTTTTTCTGCTGGGCTACTTTTTCAGACAAGCAGTTACCAAGTGATCTTATTGTTGAGTTTCATACTATTGCTGCCACAAGGCACGGAGCAGAAAACAGTCAGGACAGAACAGAGCACCTTTTCAGTCAATACGAATGAGGGGAAAAAAAAAACACCAAAAACTTCTTGGCAAGAGCAAAGTTCATCTTGCACTGAAGTGACCAGGTAACCACTGAAATTTATGTAGCAATTGTAGAAAAAATCAGAATGGAAAGATTCTATGTGACAAAATATGCTGTGCTCCATTATTTTCATGACTACATTTCATATAATGGTCTATAATAACTTCTATTGACTAGCATTTATTTTGAGAGGGAAAAAACAAAACAAACAAACAAAAAAAAGCATCAGACCCTACATTCTGAGACTGAAGTTTAATATTTAGCTATAAAATTTCCCACTTGGTGATCATGAAACTCAACCCACTATTAGTATTCTTTTGGTCATGTTGAGACCCTGTCACTTCACGGGCAGATTGGAAAGGTTGAGGTGTTTGAGATTTTTTTGTTTGGTTATTTTGTGGTTTGTTGGTGGGGGTTTTTGTCAGTGGAAAAATGTTGGGCTGTAACAGTCCTGAAAAAACTGTACATAGTATTGTGAACATGGGCCACCATCCATCAGCCTATCTGTGAAATAAAAAGTTGTTCTAAGGATGAGGAAAATAGAATAATCCAGTAAGTGTTCAAGACTTGTACAAGTGTATAAAACAAGCAAAAAACATCCACAGTAACCTTTCAGTACAGTAACACTCTATAACAAAATAAAGATCTTTAACTATAAAGTTGAATTCAGAATCCTCCTCAAGAAAGCATCAAGTCAACGGCATTTTAAATATTTCAAGAGCGTCATTAAAATGTGATAATGCACAATCTGATATAGTTGCTATTCTCTGAGGCTGAATAAATTAAAGCCAGTTTATCATCAACACTTCTTTAACCTCTCCATCTACAGTAAATATAACATTCACTAGTGTAATTAAATAAACAAAGTTACCAAGAAAAAAACCCAGAAAATTTAATTTGATCTTTTGATGCAAGTCACTAAATAGAATCAAAAGGACATCATCCTATTTAATTCAGGCATAACATTCAAAACTTTCAAAAATCATAATTTCTGTCTCTCACTTATGCTTCTTGGAAAATTTTAGCAGCATGTCAGAACAGTCAACTGAATGCAAACAAAGCAAATTGAGTATCATACACTGCAGCAGGTTCACTTCAAATCTGCCAGGACATCAAGGTCATAAGCTTTTGTCTGTGTATTAAGCTTGCCTCTGAGATCAGCGTATGATCATAACCTATTTTTTTCAGTAGACTTATGTCTCATTCATTCTGTGGGTTAGAAAAAGGAATAAATAATCCTAAAAAAAAAAAAAAATCAAGGTTGTAGCAGCAAACATAAATTTGTCATTTTCTGACTTCCAGACTTTGCAACCTCAATCTTTCTCCCACTCGATTTTTTTTTTTTTGAATAAAACAGTGGGAGGATGGTCAAGCATACCCACTTCAGAAAACTGTCTCATGTTAGAGTTTATGTCCTACTTCTGAACTGCTTTGTACTTGATATGTCACTCACATTCTGTAAGGCAACATTAATGGAGAGACAGACACTACCGTTATTAAGGATCATCATTCAACACCAATATATCCAAAATTCAAGTGATAATCAGTCTCAAAGACAGACATAATCAGATAACTAGTGAAGTCTTTCATATTATGTAAGCTTAAGAGATATTTTTGCAACAACTTAAAAAAAAGGATTCCAATGTGCAAACCAGTAATTCCAAAACAGTTCTTTCTTCTTAGTAAAAAAAGATAACATAAAAATCAAGGAATGTGCTAATTAAACTTTTCATATATAAATCTCACTTTTAAAAACACCAGAAGTTATCTTTTATTGTTGAAATTAATCTGTCATGCCTTATTACTAATAAAGCAAATATTTGCTCCAAAACATTTTTTAATTTACTTGCACACTACGTGCAAAATCTAGCTTCTATAAAGCTTTTATGAGGTCACATTCAGAGCATGAAATATATAAAAAAGTGCCATGCTTTAAGAAACACCTGTCAACTTCCCAGTAATCTCCAGAAAAGCCCTAAATTTCACAACTCTTCTGCGGTTTAGCCGAAGATTGGCTCAGTATGGTTTGCAATCACCTGTTACGGAGAATGAGCTGTAAGTGAAATCATCTCTCAGTGTACACAAGGCCATGCAGCACTCCTCTGCAAACCTGCAGATAGAATATCGGGGTGGGCTGGGAGCAGTCTACAGGAATGATTTTTTTATTTTCCTGAGTGCAAATTTACACAGATATTTTCAGAAACAAATAAAACTTCCAGCAGGCTAGTTACATCCTAAATCAGAAGTCTGACCTTTAAAAGACATGCTCCGTAAGCTGCCTGCATGAACATTGGCTATTAAGGCTGTATTTAGTGCTCAAAAATCTTGCAAATGTTATCCTGTCATGTCACTATTAACAGGATAAATTTTAGTAGGAAACAAGTTAGACAATACAGTGTTGGTCCTCTACTGCATAGAAGGGTTCTGACAAAAAAAAAAGTCTGTAAGATGAACTGCATCTTTTTTCTCAGTTAGGAAATTTATACGCACTCTTTCTACAGCTGTGCTTTCACAGAAGTCACAAGAATTTAGCACCTGTCAGTGACTGCTGGCAACCGAGTTAAGGAGCAGGTCAGAAGCTATTTAGAGGACAAAGAACAAAAACATACACCTCATTTACTCAAACAGCCAGGATAAAAATATAATATGTAGGTCTGATTATTCACTAAAGTTCTTCAGTGATCATGAAAAACTGGAAGCTTTCTCAAGAATAGATGAAAAAATACAGAATAATGTTCAGTGCTACAACCTTCGCTGACCTTTGTGGTTAAGTCCAACTTTAAAAACTGAGGAAAATTATAGCTGAAAAACTAAGTTCCCAATTATTTACTAAAAATAGCACTATAATCAAAGAACCTTGTAAAGAAGGACACAAGTAGCATCCTTCAAATTGAACTTCCTTTTTTTCCACTGCAAAAACAAAATGTGGACACTTATGCTGCTAGGACAGATTTTTCTGGTGTGAAACAATGCTGAAAATATAATCTTCCAATGACAATAACTGAAGTAGATATCAAGTTGTTTGTGATTCAAATATGACAAGATAAATACAATTTTTTAAAAACTGGAAAATGACATAATGGAATAGATGCATTAATATAATACTCCTAATAAACTTAATTCTTTATAAAATTGGTTATAAGACGATCTGTAAAGTAGGGCAAGTTTTCAAATGATGTCTAACATACACCATGAAGCTCTATGGATTAGCGTTTCTCTTGAGTGGTATGAGTATTCTTTTGAGATCTATCTGCTGCTAAGTCAACCTATACCTTACAAATGCATGGGACAAATTCAGGAAAATCATTCAAAATGGCAGAAATTTTAAGTTACAGCTTCTCACAACATAATTTTCTAGCCTGCATATCAAAAGAACCAAGAAAAGGTTATCACTATACTAGTAAATTGGAAAGGAAGCAAGAAAAGAACAGATTAAAAACATAGAAAAAAAATTCATTTCAGGCTTCATCTTCAGAAGAAAGCAGCACAAAAATCCAGTCACTGGAGACCTCACAGCTTTTGTCACTACACTATTGCATTCCATTTTTCTTGTCTGATGTGTTAGAATTAGTTGCTATGCAACCAAGTTATAAGCCTCACCATTTAATAATTCTTCTGCTAATTGCAATAGAGAAAAAGAGCTTCAGTGTCTGGCTTTGTCATAGCAGCACTGAATTCTTCCTGTGCAGAGAATCTAGGACCAATAACAACGAACGCAAAAAAAAGCATTTTTATTGAATGTATCTGGGATCAGCCATTATAAAGGTATTAACTTATACATGTAGTCGCTGAATTTTGATTATAACGACAATTACATTATTTACTAAGTGTCCTACTGGCTTTATAGATTGTTTTAACTTCTCCCCTTCCTTCCACCAAAACCTTCTCTGAAACGGGAAACTAACGATAGCCTGTATGCTTCTGCTGATCCTGTGGTTCATTTCATTTACAAATTTTTCAGTATCAGAATTGAAAATCTCAAGATTTACTTTCTATTTTATTGGTGTCTTAACTATACATAGGAACTAACTAAGCAACTGAAGGAGACCAATTGCGGCCTCTGCTGGTACCTAATATATCCATGAAACAATAGAATCTATAATAGAGTGCAATAAAATCAGAAAATTTCCCACTAAAATTCTATTACTAAAAAATAAAACAAAAACATAAGAATGAAAGGATATTGCAGTAATAACATGAGCAGAGAATATCCAGTGATGGAAGTACCACAGTAAGTCCAATTATGTCACTTAAAAGACTCAAACTAGTTTCCCACTTCGTAAAGTACTCTGTAAGAAAGGATTTTTCAACTTTGTAAAGCTCTGTCAGCAGACCCATGCCAGAGCCTGAAACAATAGCCAGTGAAAATGCATGGTATACTTCCTTTAACATACACTGACACAGATAACATTTGAATATGACATTAGAAAATTCGATCAGAATATATTAAGGGTTCATTCATTTCGATGATTTCATAAATCAATTTCAGAAAAGAATCTTGACTGCATAACTTCTAACTTCCCAAATGTCGTAATGTAAATTTGTACATATTTAAATTTATAAAAAGAAACAAACAACACCCCAGAGCTTTAGGAACAAAGGCATATTCATCAGTTCAGTTACAAAACATTCTGTATAGCAAGGAAAACGAAAGCATACCTGCTTACATGTTTAGACAGCTAGTCAGTTTAAGAATTAAGTCTTTGTTCTACAACTTTATGTGAAGCAAAAAGACTAAAGATGGGGTAAATGAACTGCCTGTACTTCTACTGATCTCCTTCTACAGTAAAGGTTATTTTATCCTGCCCAGCTCAACTCCTAACACCACTGAAAATATGACCGTCCTCCACTTTAATCTTAACTAAAGTTTTTGCTTATGAACACCCGTATTTATGTTTGGAGCAGATTTCCATATCAAAACCACAGACTGAGCATATATAGAAAGAGTTCTGGGTTTGTTTGGAGTTTTTTCCCACCTTGCCAGTAAGGAAAGCAGGCAAAATAAGTAAGATCACCTCAGAACCAACCATGAGTGTTCTCAGAGCTTGCAGAGGTTTAAAGATGTTAATCAAATTAAATCATTATTGTTCATTTAACTACTCAAGCCACATTTAGTATAAGGACAACACTAGCATCTCTGTGAAAAGAGAAGCTAATGGAATACCAGCTACAATGAACCATAATCTGGCATCTGCCAATTGATAAATCATTTTAGAGTAGTCATTTCTAACGTGGACAGCATATCAGAAATGAAGTGCTGTATGCCTCTCTAAATAGACCTTACTGAAATAAAAGTAGAAACGAAGAGTTACAGGACTTTCAAAGTTAATTCCATCAATCTAGATACATCAAGGAAGTACTTACTAATTGTCATGGATTCTGGCACAGTGGCTGAAGGCAACATATTGCTTAAAGTATTCACTTGAGCTGGAGGACTGACTTCCACTCTAGTCATAAAAGTACAATATCATCAATAAATGAAAACAAAATCCTAAATTCAAAACTTCAGAAAAAAGCATTCCAGAAACTAGAATTGTCATATTTACCCATACTCAATCAGCTTACATTTAACTATCCTTTAACATACAACTTTAAAATATAATTTCATAAAAATAAACAAACAAAACCAACAAAAAAACCACATAAAACCTATTTTCAACAATCAGGAGGCTGAATTTGTCTGTTATTTGACACGACTAAGTGACTTCAAGATAATTAGGAAAAGTTCAATACGTGAAACTATGCAAAAAACGGAAGTGTAGGCTTGTTGTATTTGTCTTTCCAAACACTTGCAAAAGTACCCTGAAGAAGTTTGTTTTTCAGTACTGAGTAGCTATGCACTAGGTAACAATAATAAGTTGGCAGCTACAGGTTGAAGATTTCTTTCTTTCAAGAAAAAAATATTTGACACACACCTGTAAGGAAGATCAGATCTTCTTGGAACCAGTTCTACCGCATGAACAACATGTTCGTGCCCCTCTCCATTCTCCAAGTTATCTAAAGTAGAATGCACCAGCATTAGCTTCTTCAGTTAACAGTTCTTAAAAAATAAAAAGTAATACAAATAAAACCAGAAGGAAGGTAGTTACATTTTTAACTAGAAATACTCATTTTTACTAAAGCTTTTAAACATTTTAAATCCTTTCTTCAAGGTTGCCTTCTGTACATTCACCCTGAAGGCTAGCAGGACTGTAAAGTCCCTTAGGAACACAGTCATCAGTTTAGAAAAAAATGAAAATTGCACAATTCCTAAATTATCATTTAGATGTACATTTTACATTGATAACAATGCTGCAGAGCTATGAAAAGACTTCTTACTGAAGTTATTTTTGCCAGCCCCGGGAGCTCAACCATCACACGCCATCTGATACTCATCACAGATCTGTTTGTGACTTGCAGGAAAAGAATTTGCGGTTAGTCCCCAGTATGAAACCTTGCAAAGACACCAGTCCTTTATGCATTCCCAACAGAGGACCATGGCTTTTCTCTGGCTCCTTATGCATGTGTACCAAATATCAGGAATCAGACAGGTAAGATGTTTTTTAAAAAGCATGGATAATATGCATCTGTCCAGATCCACAACTGTCAGGATCAAAACAAACACATCACCCGGCCTCTCATTAAGGCAGTTCAGGTATAAAGAAACAAAAAATCACACTTTATTGATGTTTTCTGCATCTCACTATGTAAGGGTTACAAAGTTACCATAAACTAATCTTAAAATCATGAGCTAAAACAGCACAGAATTTTAAAAGCAGGAATTCTAGATAAACAGTTCATGGGAATTTGCGTTATGTCAGAATGACTAAGGAGAAGAAAGTTCATTTTTTAAGCTGTAGAGTTTACTGAAGCCCAGTTCCTAAAATGCACGCTCCATTTTTGTTCCAAGCAACTAAATTTTCACTCGGGCTTTCTCATCTCTATTACATGGAGATACGATACGCCCTGACACATCCCTGAAGCACTGCCACAGACTAAAATGGAAAACATTGCTATTAACATACAACACCATAGATTATGCTGTAATCTATTTCAAACATATGTCTTGTTATTTATCTGTACTGAGACCTATAAAACAAAATACTAGGTTAAACTATATATTTTACAAGAGGTCATTAAGTATGTTTTAGCAACAATGCTGTCATAATCATAATGAGCTTTCTAGCTACTGGGCTGAACTGCCCTTAGAAAAAGCTAAGCCACATTCCCTCCGGTATCTTTCATCTGGCAAAAGTGTAACTTCCAAAGTCAAGCAAACAACTGCCTAAGGCAGCTTTCAATCTCATCAAATTGTCCTTCTGCATGGGAAGAGGGTGACCATACCCATGTCCATCACTCTCCCTAACTGGCTGACATTTGGGCTGCATGATGGGCCTCTTAGTGAAGACTGCTTGCACACTCTGTCAGTTCAGGACTGTTCAGAAGCGCCCAGTGACAGCATGGAAAGTTGAAACCAGGAAATTGGACAGCAGAATTTGTGTTGCGGTTTTCTATAACTGACGAAGATTTCTTTCACCAGCCCAATGCTGTATCATTCTGGCTTGCACACTGGACCACAGGCTTTACCATAAAGATAAAGAGGGGCAGGAGAAGAACTGAAAATATCTGTCGACCATCTCTAGTAGTCTGAGCATTGTCTTCAAAACAGGTCTGAGATGAAGCAAGATGGAACAAGGGTCTTTAGTATCTCCTTAATAGAAGTAAGCCCCTGTTAACACCTACCATTGTCCTCTCTGGTCATCTGTCTCCAGTACCAAGTCTTGGCTTAGTCTCCTGACTTTTGATTTCAGCTAACCCCCTAGCTCTAGCTCCTGATGCCTTGTGACATCTGACTGGCTATGAACTCCCACAGCTCAGCTGCAAGCTCCCATTCCACTTACTCCCCTATAAACAGGAACGTTTTCTAGTATTCCAGATTTCAATCTCTTAGAGTCAGCAAACACAAATCCATGGACTTTTTCTAACAGTTTCTGTAGAAAATTTAAGAGAACACTATGCCACAAACTAGATAATGTTTTTTAAATCCATTCTTTCATAAATTGAAAAACTGGGAGCACAAGAAAAAAAAGAAAATGTACTTTTTTTTCCCACTGGCATTTCTTAAGAGGTACGTCTTAAAATACAGCAGAGGGCAGTACAGCATTATTTTACAGTTCACATTTTAATCTCCAAACTTACAGAACTACATTACACTTTTTCACAGGCCTTCAATTAACAGTCCATTTAAACTCTTGGCACATATAATGTATATGCAAAAAATATGAAATATTGTACAAATAAAACACTATTTGAATGCCATTGAGAAGTTTTTAAGTGGTTACTGAAATGAGAATACCTACCCAAGGCTTTATAAAAGCAATGTTTTATAAACAGCTAGCAAAATATAAACTCAGGGGAAGGAGGGAGGTCAGGAGTTGTGGAAGTTTTTTGTTTGGTTTTGGTAACAATACAGACACTGGAAAAGTACCAGGTCTTTCCCATACCTTTGACCATTTTCATTACTTGCTTCAAGATCTTCTCCAAATGATCCACACCATCCTTGAAGCGCAGAACCCCAAACTGCATACAGTTCTGCAGCTGAGGCCACACCAGAGCCAACGGAGCACGAATTTACAAATGACACTTTTATTTATGTAAGTCCATATGAAGCATGCTTTTACTGCAGAAGCACGGCACTGCCAATTCGCTATCAGCTTGGCACCCACTTTAGTGGGTATCCTGCAGAAAATGACTTGAGGATACTGGAAGATGAAAAATTAGATATGAGCTGGCAATTGGTGCTCACAGCCCAGAAAGTCAATCTTATCCTGGGCTACATAAAACAAAGCACGGCAAGCAGGCTGAGGGAGGTCATTCTCCCCCTCTATTTCACTTTCGTGAGACCCCACCTTAAGTTCTGTATCCAGCTCTAGCATCCACAGTACAAGAAAGGCACGGACCTGTTAGAGTGGGTCCAGAGAAGGGCCATGAAAGTGATGACAGGGCTGGAGCACCTCTCCTATAAAGACAGGCTGAGAGAGTTGACGTTATTCAGCCTGGAGAAGAGAAGGCTCCAGGTAGACCTTACTGCAGCCTTTCAATATATGAAGAGGGCTTATTAGAAAGATGGAGAGAGACTTTTTACCATGGCCTGCAGTGACAGGACAAGGGGCAATGGTTTTAAACTGAAAGAAGGTAGATTTAGGTTGGATACAGGGAAGAATTTTTTTTTTCAATGAGGGTGGTGAGACACTGAAACAGGTTGTCCAGAGAAACTTATGGATACCCCATCACTCGAAGTATTCAAGGTTAGGTTGGTCAGGGCTTTGAGCAACCTGATCTAGTGAAATATGTCTGGGGGGGGGTTGGACTAGATGATCTTTGAAGATCCCTTCTGTATCAAACCATTCTACGATTCTGACAGTCCCATATCCTTTTCCAAAGAAGCATTCCCTAGCCAATCCTTCCTCATCCTGTATATAAATCGATAACAGCTTCTACTGAATGGCATCCTATATTTGATACTTTCTCCAATCTGACAGGGCTCAGTCAAGGGGTGGTGAGCAATTACATCGTACATCATTCATTTGTATACATTTATCACTATATATAGCCGTGAGTGAGCGGCTGTGTGGAGTTTAGTTGCTGGAGCAGCCTCGGTATAGATCCCGGGGCAAGCTGTGGTTTCCCAAAAATACAAAGCAAGACAGAGAGAGTATGTTGCATGACATGGAATACTTATTGGACAGTTGGGCCTCAATCCTAAGTCTAAGTACAAATCATAAGGAGAGTCATGGACCCCTCCGTCCCGGCCATGCTCCCCCTTATCCTGTTGTGCTCCTGCACACTGGCAAGAACACGGCAGCTGAAAAGTCCTTGAGGCCTCAGTGTCAACTCTAAACATCAGCGCGCTGTCAGCGTTCTTCTCAGAGCAAGTCTCAGACTAAAACCAAAACATGGAGCTCTTCCAGCTGCTAAAAAGAAGAGCTAAGTCTGTCCCAGCTGAAACCAGGACATCTGTCAAGATTAATTGGAATTCAAATTCTCGAAGACACTTGAAGGTTCTTCCAGCTTAGTGATATTTAGAAAATAAATAAGGATACTTTCTAGTCAAGCATCCTAAACATTAATAAAATACCATACAAGACCACAGCTTAATCCCAACAGAACTGGTTTATTTTGACATTGACAAATCCTCTTCAACTAAATATCCACTCAAATAGAGAACTCTGATTCAGATCTAGAATAAATTTCAATTCAATCTCCCATCCCAGTTGTGCAATATCTTCTATGTCCTTACACTCCCACTATTGCTTACCATTGTCCCATGTTAGAAATTCTGTTGTAAGTTTTGCTGGAATTCGGTAAATTCAAATACCTACCTGTTTGCGAGTAAGAGCCAATGGCACTGACTGGAAATAGGACATCTGAGTCATCATTCAGGACCTGCAGAGGAGTCCAACTGCATATCTGAGAATTGCATGTGCCTATTTCATGAGGCCTAGATTTAAAACAAACCAACAAACCTGTTACACAGTCAATAATGCTTATATGTCTTTCAGAGATATCACTGGTTTCAATAAGCTTGCCAATTTCTTAATTCAGACATACATAAATTCATTAAAGATCAGACCATTCCAAAGCAGATGAGACAAGCAGTGCTTGTCTCTTTTTCTCCAAAGGGATTTCTGTTTCAAAAATAAAGAGGGCATATTAGTATCTAAAATTATCTTTTTCTCTCAGTTCTGTCTTGTTTAGCTATCTACTCTGCTGATAACAGGTTTACTCTTTTTCAAATATGCTGGTTTACTGGGAAGTCAAAATAGAGTTGATATCATAATAAAAACAAGGAAACTTCAAATAGGCCAGAATTACAGCGTGACTATATCATGCAACAATTTCAACAAGCTCAAATGGTTTAAACAACAGAAAAGGAAAAAAAAATTAAAAGGAGGAAAAGAAAAGGAGGGACGAGGGATCAGATTAAAGGAAAAAAGAAAAAAAAAACACGAAGAAGAAAACAAAAAGACAGAAGAAAAAAAAATAAAATCTATAGTTCGGTTAGTTACATAAAGTTGCCAGCACCCATGAAGGAACTAGGTGGGGGAAAGCACAGAAAACTTACTACCGACTCCTGCAACATTACTTACTTTTCAGAATCTTCAGTTTCACCTTCTGTGCCTTTATTTCCTGACGTTTTTCCATATAACTCATCCTCATCTGCATCTTCATCATCAATGCTCTTCACATCTAGTTTCTGATATTCATACTCTCCATTCATGAATACGGAATTGCTCTTCCACGAATCGTTACTTTCATTCCCATTCAAATTTCTTCCGAGAGTGCTTTCCGATGAGGGTAATACAAAAACTGAAGATCTGTCCACACTCTCTTCTGAACTTTCTCCTGTAATCAGAGTCTTCGTGGCATCCCCCAAATTTTGCTCATCTTCCTCTTCATCAAATGAGATGATATTTGTCACTCTCTTCTTCTTTTTTCGATCTTTTCTATATTTCAAATCTAGTAGTAACATAAAAGTTTCCAAAGTTTAAAAAACAGAAACAATGTAAGACGCTTGTTTTTTCTTAAAAGAATGCAGGTACTAAATGAGTTTAGTAAAGAAAAAAATACTTAGATCTACAAGGCACTTCATTATCTTTCCATACATATGAGCTTTTAAATTTGTAACTATCATTTTTACTTTATGTGCCTTACATAATTCAGATTTTAGAAGATATGTTAGAGTGCATTCATAACAGTATTCAATTGAAACTGGAAAAAAAAATTCAACGAACTTATAAAATGAAATTTAAAATAAAATGTTAGCCTTCCCATCAGTTTCTCCCATGGAATATAGCTAGTGTATATTGCAGAGTATGTCTACACAACACAGAAAACATGAAACACTTCTTGGGAGAAAAAATTAAAAAGAACAGACACATAACACAAACAAAATCCACAACCTGCAATCAAATAAAGTTAGTTTTATCTGTATTCTGGAAATACAGCAGTCATTTTTCAGAAAAAGAAATTAAAATTGCTCCCTCCCTCAGGGAATTAGCTCTTGGTCAAGAAATATGCCGAAATACTCTGATTACATCACATCTATGCTATGACAGCACTTATTTTTAAATTATTACCTATTCTCACTGATTCCAATGTGTACATGAGGCTAAATGATTTGAAGCACTCTAAGAAATATCAGAAATTTACTCATTGAGACAACTTACACTGGGACTAAACTGTTTTGTTTCATTCAACTCCAGCTGTTACATATCCACAAAAAATATTAACATACTTTTAAGAGTAAGAGGATATTAAAATCTATCCTGGATGCATATAGAATTCTAGCAAAGAACATAGACTCTAATGAAAACATCTAACTTGCTCTAAAATTCAACACATAATGGCATCTGAACAAACTCAATTTTTTTGAAGTGCCATTTTATTTTAAGTTGTACATTACATGTACTGTATACACATGTACTGTACACACAACATACATTACGTGGTAGAGTCACATGCAGCAGCATGTGGTCAACTATTCTGTCATTTGATCTTACAAGCCTAATCTGTACTAACAAAGCTATCCCAAGTCAAGTATCATCTACTACTTTCATCTCATTTAAAGTGCTGAAGAACAAAAGTTTTACCACTACTTTGTTTTGAAAACCATATTTTGAGACAGTCTCCTTTAAACACCCGTAAAAAACATATTTTATCTCAACTTCTATTCCTACCACAGAGCAGATAGGTTTTTCTTCCTTTTTCTCATACAAAAACAATTTAAAGTCTAAATTCAAACTTTGTTTCTTAATTGAAAAACACAAATCCCAGAGTCTTCCTGCAGTTTTGTACTTTTATAAAGCAAAATATTCCTTCAGCTCAACTTCTGGAAATAAAGATGATAAAATATTCCTTTGGTATTTTTGGAACTGAAAATATATAACGAAGATCACATACTGTTTGATTAATTTCAAATTATAAGAGAGTAAGACTTTGGGTCTTTGTTAGTAACTAACATCCTACGAACTGGTTGCAACACTAACACATTTAAATGTAAAAAGAGCGTATGAGTAAATTCTCCATTGTGGTAATTACCTACTTCATACCATGGAATTCAGATCATGAACATGGGTGCTGCTTGAAAAAGATTACAAGCTAAGATTTTTATCTGATATCTAACAACAGACACATGGCACTGTATTTCTGACTGATAAAGTGTCAAAAGAAAACATATTAAAAATGAAAAATCTCTACATCAGAAACTGCAAGGCATAATATTATGCAGGAGAAACTGAAATTCAGGTCGCAAGCAAAGCACTTTACCAGTAAGACAGTTCAGCCTCCCTCTCACAGTGATGCAACGAAGCTAAAATATAGGTTTATCATCCAGTATTCACATCAGTATTTCTAAAAAATTTCATACTTTTTCACACTCGGCTAGTTTCTATGTGTAGTGCACTTATTTGAAGGTTTTTGTTCCGTAACAGTGCATTACATTTAATTGAAAAAGTTATTTAAACACGCTTGAATATTTTACAAGTTTCGGAATGAACACCAACATTGCAAAAATGCTTACCAGCATTTACGTTCCTTGAGAGAACAGGAAGTGGGTCAGTGTCTTGATCAGGTTTTATTAGAATCGAGACAGCAGATGATGCAGTTATCTCTCTAAGAAGGCTGCTAACACCCTGAGTGGATTCCTTCAATAATGAGGTTACGTTTTGCGTCGATTCCTTTAACAAATCAGACACGGTAGGTGTGCATTTGCTCTGCCCATTTAAATCCTTATTATCAATGTTGATCGCAAAAAGAATGGAGTTCAGACCTTCAGATAAAAGAAAGGGGAAAAAAAGACCAAAACCTCACTATATACTTCATACAAAAGTTACAAAGATAGAGCCTAAGGATTGACAAAGCTATGACACATAAAACATTTTTCCACAAAAATTTCCCACAGTTCTCCATGCATGAACTCTTATTCTTTCATGTACTATTCATTCTTTTTCAGATGATAGTCAAGCTGATGCAATCAGTTCTGAATTTATCTTGATGGCTGTTCAGCTGCACACTAAATAAGAAGAAAGTACTGTGAACTCGTTTATTTATAACGTTTTATTTAAACTCGTTTTACTGAAACTGTAATCTATCTATCATTGCTCTTTTCTAGTCAGGAATAATACATCTTGTTTTCTCTCAACTGTGCTAGTTTTAAAAAAAAAAAGTTAGCCTTGACTGGTGAAGAGTTAGAAAATTTATGTGAAAAGACTTTCGAACCGTAGGAAGGCCAGATTCAGTGTTTTAACAGCTCATCAATTCGTGGCATAAATTGACATAATCCTTGACTATTCACCTTGAATGTGCATCTAATACACATATGCTACATAAGCAAAGAGTGTGTTAGAAAAACTCCTCACAACCAGAAACAGATATAACATCCCAAAATGAAAGTTTTCCAACAACAGTAGCATTTAAGAGAAGGCCTTACCAGCTGCCATCGTAGGGATCATACTAGAACGTTCTTCATCCATCATAAAAGACCAGTCTTCATAGAAGACACTATTAATTTGAAAGGAAAAAAAAAGAAACAAAATGCAGTCCTATATTAACATACATTCTGTGGCTAAAAGACATGAAAACTCTGAAAAATAAAGTAAGTATGAGTACACCAATGGATCAAATCACATTTCACAGTAACACCCTGAAATATATAGAACTGTCTGAATAGTTAGCAAAGACATGTTAAATAGTATTTTATCTTCAGGTCTAGCTCTGCATTTTTTTAATGGGAAAAAAGCCACTGAGGGCAAGGAGGTTCACACTACATTAGCAGTCACAATATTTCTCTACTCCTATTGCCCTACTGGGTATGTAAGTTTTTAAATAACTATAGTTGACCATAATTACCAAGCCATTTCATAAAATATTAGAATGCATGAATACAAACAAAATGAGGCACTTCATCCTGAGCAACCCTATCTAGTGAAAGATGTCCCTGCCCACGGCAGGGGCATTGTACTAGATGACCTCTAAAGGTACCTTCTAACCCAAACCATTCTATTATTCAGTGACCTGTTTCAATATCCAAAACCACATCAATTACCCTAAATAGTTAGAGTCAACTAGAAATCTGGATGTAACAAAAAATTAACATGAATTTAATTGTGAACACATGAATTTAGTTGTTCTAGTAGCAGGATGCTGCATTTTAACTGCCAGCATTCAGTTAACTAATCATAAAAACAGAAAAAAAAGAATACCCTCAACCTATATTAAATAATTTTGACAGATTCATTTAAAAGTTTCCAAAACAGGTAAGAATTGGGATGGAAACTGATTCTGTAAATCCCATTTGAATTTGGGTAACATTTAAATCTTACATACTCTGGAATAAGCCTTTTTAGAAATAATATTTCATAGACAATACTGCACAAGTATTCCTACAAGCATGAGAGTAATTAGTTACATAGCAATCCAAGTCAGTAATTTCCTCACAATGGTTTTCAGATTTTTTTTCCTTTGTTGTTTCATTTGTCTTTATTTGATTTCATATCAAAATCTGTCTTGCAAGAAAGCTACAAAAGACTGGAACAGATTGAAAATGAAAAAGAGGTACTAACAAACTAATTTCTGGCAATAATCCTATCCAGCACATTCACTAATTGACGCAACTGGAAAGAATGTCTTTCTGCTGAATCCACTGGACTTGATCAAGCTCAACAGTTATTACTAAAAAAGGAAAATACTCCAAATTTTCAAAGAGAAAACAAGCTGAAGATGTGTAAGGAAAAAGGTAGGAGTCATTTAAGTACATTTTGCATATCCAAAGTACCTGATTTCACAAGGCATAGTAAGTAATTCTCAGTAACTGTAACAAGAAGGTTCATAAGCTGGTACAAAACCACTTCCAAGCGATCTGCAGTAGCAGCTACCTATTGCTTGACTGCTGGAGCTTTTCAGTTACAGGATGAGCATCTCCAAAAGGCAACAGGCAATTACCACTGATGAACCCACAGGATCAAGGCTGCAATTGTGAACTATTTTAACGCAATAAGAGGGACAACTCATAACATGATATCAAGGTCTTAGTAAGGAAAACTGTGAAAAGAATAGGGAAGGGAGTTAGGAAAAAGGATGGAAATTAAGATAAGAAGCATATATTCTCAGGTGCTAGAACGAAGCCAGTTTCAGCTCACATGTTGATATAGGCACAAGCCACTATCTTAACGGTTGTCAAAATTTCAAAAATTAACAAAATGAAAGTATGAGGTTAAGTGGCTTCTCCAGCATCGCAATTAATATGGTGTGTTATTACAGTTGTGGTTTTTGGTTGGTTGGTGGTTTTTTTAACCTCAGTACTTCATTTATCAATACATTTCCTGCATTACAAAGATATCAAATACAGTACCTGAGTCGATTCTTATCTGCAAGCAGCATGTGAACATATCTTTCCAGGGAATGTTCATTTAATGCACAGCGCAACCAAGCCCGGCCTCTACCAATATCTGTAGTAATTGTCTTCAGAGAATAAAAGCGCTGTTGTTCATGTTTATTCAGAACTTCTTTCACATAGTACCAAAACACTGGCTCTGGAATTTAAAAAAAATAATAATAATTAAAAAAAAAAAAAAAAAAACCACACCCACTAAGCTCATATCTGAATGCATTTACATGCAATTTCATAAACAAGCAGGTAATGGTATATAACTGAACAAAGGTGAATCATTTACCATCTTCTTATAACTCCAGTTAAATAATTTATTTATTTCTACAGAACTTGGGCTATTTAAGCCCTTAGAACTTTTCAGTTACATCAGTAACTGTAAATGCACAATAAAACACATACATATTCCTGTTTCTTAACTGAATAAGAACATATTTGAAGGACGTATTTATTACAATTCACCTCTTAGCATTTTCTCAGGGTGAAAAGAACAACCAAACATCATATAATTCACCTGTAAGACTTTGGACTCATTACTGTATGGTATAGCTTGGCAATCATTAGTTATTTATGTTGCACCAAATACATACTGCTTGAAAGTATCTTAAAATATAACAAGAACGGACACGTGGCTTTGATTTGTTATAAAGAGAATTGCTTAAACAACTAGAATGGTTTGAAAGCTGTTAATCTATACAGTTAGTAACACACTAAGAGATTGGATCTAAGGCAAATAGAATAGTTTTAAAAGCAAAAAAAAATTGAGAAATCCAATTATTACAAAAAAAAAATAAAACACACCAATCTCTCAAAGACGATATGCAGGTACTGCTTTTGACAGTTTAATGAATGTCTTTGCTCAACAGTTTTTTTAAGTTAACAAAAAAGGGAAAATAATTCTATTATATAAGTGAATGGTGCACTATCACCTGAAATATTATGCTGGCTTTTGATCATAATCTCAAGGTAGGGAGCACAAAGTAGATGTTTAAAGATGGGTAAAAAATTGCCTCAAAGATACAGAAAAAAAAAAAATCACCCAAAAGAGAAAACAGATTGATCCTGCCACTCCTTGCTTATCACTTTTCCCAATCTCTCCTAATGCAGAATAAACTTTAAGAAAAAGCTATCCATGACACTTCTCTTTCTCTCTGCTAAACGAAGAGCATGCAGTCAGATTTTGGATCGGTTTTCACTACAGCTTATGACTTTTCTTGGTGAAATATGCTCATTTGAGGGGTTTTATTGGGGTTTTTATTAATCTCTGCTGAAATCCAAATAAAGCATTAGATTAGCAAAGTTTGTAATACAATTTCAAAAACCTAAACTCTTAACAAGCAAGTTACTCATTAACTAGTTTTGCCAAAGAGACCTGACAGCTATGCAAGAATAACCCAGAGCTCTTCTAAATTAGACAAATGTGTAAATCTCAGGACCAACTGATTGACAACGTAGCATGCAAAACTAAAGGTATACTTTGCTGAACTAGGAGCTCACAGGCACATTAACATGTAAACAATAAGAAGGTCCATTGAACATATAAGAGCATTCAAATATCGTATGTCCCCATATTTTTTTCCATTTCAAAACCAAAACACATTTACATGTAAAAAAAAGTATTCCTTAAAACACCAGATAGCGATTTAATTATTTCATTGTTTCTTGTGACCAATAAAACTCATTTTTCCATCCTGCAAAAGCTCTAAACAATACTAAAGTAGGAATTGAAAATACTACAGGAATAGAGAAAATAAGCAGATTTCCCCTTGCGCTGAGGGTGAAACAGTGTTTCTTGGCATTCTGATTATTTACAGACATCAAGGATTTTGAAAAGCTTCAAAATTTGGACTATCATCAGTTTTTCGTCAAAATCTATCCAGTGGAAATAAAGAGCATTCCATATTCTACATCCCGCCACGACATACTTTATAAAAACAGTAACGTAAGTGGCATTTTCAAATGACTGAGTTCTCTTCTTTGAGACAAGCATTAAATGAAAATCCAAGTCCTAATTGTTGATATTATTTTTCATAGCAAACAATCCAATACTTGTTACTCAGAAGAAAGGTCATTTTAATTTCAGTAGAATATAATTTGTACTACTGTACTGTAGGCAGAGAAGACATTGATGTTATGCAACTCACCCAGACATTAGTCACTTTGTGAAAATGGTTTATTTAACTTTAATCATATCACAGTTCCGATAACTGCAATATCACCAATTGTTAATCAGCAATAAACAGCTGGCATGTCTCAAGCTGAGAGCATAGATATCAGTCTCAAGTCAGGTTCGGTGCCTTCTTATGAAAAAAAAAGGTAAAGAAAACAATTTACATTGTGCATTTCCATGTCTGTTCTGTCAAGTAATTAAAGAACAGTCTCATATTTGTCACTAGTGTCTCATAGTAGAACATTCTTTGCTATAGCTGGAAATACTAGTTCTTTCACTTTAAATTGAGAGTATCATTAAATGAAGTTTATATTCCATAATCCTTAGTCTATCATTTTCATTTCTAACCACAGCAACTAATAATTTTCCCATATTAGCCCTCAGCATTACTCTACAATGTCCTACTATTCACAAGCAAGCTACGATATACAAAGTAGTAATATAAGATTAAAGGAGCTGTATATGCCTGTAAGGACCATGCCATCACACTGATTTTAGGAATTTGCTTACTTGAATTTATATTAAAAAAATAAAATATTTTAACTAGGATTTTTAGGCCATAGTTCCAAAGAACTACTGCTGGACTTCTTATTTAAAACTTTCATTTTCATTTAAAAAAAAAAAAAAAGTAAAACACTGAAGTTCTTAGATGCAAAATGATGCTACATTGTTTACAGACATTTGAAAGTACAGTTTGTCATGAAGTATCTATAAATTTCAAGTAAAAACAACTGCTGAACAATTTTATTTTTCAATTGTCAAAGCCTGAATGTATAGCCTAAACAGCAGTATTCCACTATGTTAAAGAAAAAGATGACACCTGTGATTACATCAGACAGAATATAAACCATACTAGACTCATTTGCCTCAAAATGATAAAAATATAGAAGTATTTTGCAACTGCTTTCAGAAAATAAAAAGCCAACACCGTAATTTGCAAGGATAAATGCAGTGGAACCCAATAACTCCCATTTAAAAAAAAAAAGTTTCTCTTACTAGTCACTGTACAGCATTGAATTTGCTGCAAAGCAGCCACATTTTTGTTCTTGAACTTCCACATATTGTTTAAGCTTCTTAAGAAGTCAAAATAGTGTTTCCTTCCTTCTTCCACTTCCCAAACATAGAAAACCTTCCTGATTATCCCCTTTCTCCACATCATCTGACTGACAAGCCCCAAGTAAGACACACATATGAACAGACAGATGAATTGTTACTACGTTCCCAAGTATCAGAGATGCACCTTTCTACATCAGACCACTAAAACACTAAAGGACCAAAAATTTCATACACACTTGATGCTACTAACAGGCAAGAAAGAAATCATAAGAATTGTACATAGTGTCTTCAAATTTAAAGAGACACAAAATTTGCATAAATCAGAGAGGATGTAACAGGGGAGAACATTCTCGGCACCAAAGCATAAGACTCCCAACTGCAAGCTGGGGGGATAAAAAGCAGATGGGAAAATCACTACGTGCTGAAGAGATGGAAACCGCCCAGAGCCTCAAGGAGACCACAGAGTATCTAATCCCCAATTATACAAGAGAAAAAAAGCACACAGAGGAGACAAAAAAAATCGGTAAAGACTGTGTAAACAGCTGAATTTTTCTCACTTGTTCGAGTCCGCAAAGTGTCGAGTCTTGCCCATTACTAGGTAAAAGATGTAAACATGGGAAACTCACTAACTTCTCTAAAAGCACAGCTATTCTGGCTCCCTAAAAACGCTAAGTCTGGAGGGTCTAGCCCATCAGCAGGGTCAGCACACAGGACCCAACATTTCACCCTATCATACACAGAAAAAGTTTGTTGTTACAGCAATTTAAAAACACCGTTACATCAAACTATACATTTTGTGTTAATGTTATACCCATGATATGCAGTTGTCTGGTGTAACTGTAAGTTATGGCTGGAGATTAAATGTAGTAACAATTCTAGTATCACTGAAAATATTTAAAAAAAAACAAAACAAAAACCCCACTACATGTTACATTTACACTTGATGGAGGTTCAAGAGCTAAAAAGAAACTTCTTTATATTATGTGTACCCTATTTAAGAAAAAAGATACTGTATGTTGAACTTCGCAACAAAACTAATGAAGATGAACACCTTCAAATATTTTTGATAAAAAAAAAAAAAGAGAAACTTCAAGGTGAACAGAAGGCAACAAAAATTAAGGAATCTTTTTCTCTACATGTGGAGAAAGTAATAAAAAAATCTCCAATCAAGATAAGTAATCCAAGTTTTTTTAAAAAAAAATTATATCAATGCTTAGAAGTTAAACATATGTAATGCTATAGAATATGGCAGATAAAGAACAAAGTAAGAAAAGGTTAAGTATGAAAATGTTGTCGTAAAAACTTAACAGCACAATTACACAATATTTATCCCTATCAAAATTCAAAATAAGTTTGCCAAGGACACTATTCATGATGGAACTGTAGGAAGTTCAGATTTCCAAACACAAACATTTCTAGAAAAACTTGGCATAAAAATTAAACTAGATTAAGAAAGCAATAACCATTTTCACTTCTTAACAACAGTCCAAGTATCAAGCATGCTACCAGCAGTCTGCGGTTTGGTGTACTGCTTAAAACTTAAACAGAAATTACACCATTTGCTTGCACTTATCAACTGTCTAAAACAGAGAAGTTACAATTAATGAATTACCTGTTTCAGTTTTACTGGAGAAACCTGCTGCCTGTTTGATTGCTGCTGCTGTTAACGCTAATCCTCGGCTCCTCCGCAGACCATGCTGTAACACAGCTTCAAACTGAGCACACAAACAAGTGACTCTGCAACAGAATTTTTAAAGAAATCACATGAAAAGAGCAATCAACTATGTTTCTATAGAGTAGGTTTACTCAAAATCTCTGAATAGAAAGTGCAGAGGTGAACCATTACTTTATACGTAGTGAAAGACCCCTTGTACGCACTAATGGCACTATTTGCAAACAGCACAATCTATTTATACCCACAGTCTCATCATGACTATCCAAAGCTGGGGCACAAATCACATTCAGAAGAACTGGCAAGGGATTTGAGAAATCATCCTCACCTGCTATAGTGGTTATTGGTCATGTTGTTTCAGCTTCAGACTATCTACTTTTCATGTAATGCAGCTACATTTTCACAAATATACTTCATACTACACACGCAATGAATGATTTTCTGAAAATATCCTATAACTTCCTATTCAATTTATACACAATTTTGTTAATTTGCATTAGTACACTATAATTCATGCCTAGGAAAACAATTAAACATATATTTTAACGTCCTTCAGAAATCCTAGACATAGGAAAATAAGAAAGATTTTTTTTCTGGAGATGTGTTGAATCTTCATTTTTTGATGTTGTTCTCTACAATACTATTTATAAATTTCCTGATTTCTGTTTCTTAAACATAACCAGTTAATAAATCAATTTTCACACAGGTAGAAACACTGTAAACTAGCAAAGTTTTTAAATTCAGCCTGTCAAAGAAAGAAACATTATTGTAACTTACAGGAAATAATAAGGCTTAAGGTATAACAGACACAAATGCGATCTGTTTGTTTGAAATCTTACATTCTCTAAGTTTTATTTTTGCCATTAAATAAACTATAATCAAAACTTAAGCTTTGAGAAAGTTGTCACCTGGCTGCTAAAGCTGATGACTAAAAGAAAGGACAGACACTTTAACTAAGTTCAAGCAAATAAATAAAAACAGTCAACAAAGTGGCTCAGGACTCTGTCCCGGCATTCCAGAAGTACAGAGTTCTATACAGGGTCACAAAAAAAGCTCAAGATCTCAGCAGGAGCACTGACAGAAAAGGAGGTATATTTACCATAGCTGCCCTGGACAGAAGAGCTTTTAACACATAATGCTTTCCAGCACATTTATGTTAGGAAAACTTTACTAATAAAGCAGAATATAATTCAAACAATACTGAAGATTATTGTGGACCAGTTGTGATTAATTTCTGTCAAAGAGACTGCTGCTGTCAAAAACGGAAACTCCAGCAGATATATTACCCGCCCCCCCCAGAAAAAAAAGAAAGGAAAAAAAAAATTTGATTCAGAAAAAGCAGAACAGAAACTAGGTTCTGTGAAAGAGCTCATATTATTAAAAACCTATGCACACTGAGAATCAAAGCAAGAAAACTTTGCAGCATTTTACAGGAAAATTCAGCAATTAGTAAAACATTTTTTTTTTTTAAATCAGGTATTCTCTAACATTCAATACATGTAGTACATTTACTAGATAGTATCACGAAGGTATGTTAAATTAACAAACACAGAAAACCATGGAGAAGTCTAGGGTACATAAACATAGTAGAACTCTGAATAATTATAATGTCAAAGACAAAAAAGCACTGGGAGAACAAAACTTGGAGAATCATGAATTCTACTGGATTTTGATCTACATTTGGAGAATATCCTGATTTTCAAAATTATCTCACAATATTCAGCATAATAACAACCTCAAACACCATGGAATTTAAAAAAAAAAAAAAATGTAATTTCCACTTCCTTTTTAATCCTGAAACTGCCTAGCTGTAATCCATTATTTAGCACATCTAATGAATTCTAAGGAAAATATTTATAAGTAAAATTTGGCCAGCATTATATCTTCGGAATCCTAACTCTCCTTGTTTATCAGAAGACAAACGCTAAAGGTCAACATTCAAATTATTAAATGACTGCAGCAAAGCAGTTGTTCAAGCAAACTGAGCAACAAAGCACAAGTTTGAGATCCAGAGGATTTGCCCTACACAGGAGGTACGTCCTTCTAGCAGAGTTTACACAACCTACTGCAAAGGCAAACATCGGCAGTACGTTGTCTCACATAAACTAAACAGAAAAGATTAAATTTCTCTCTCCAGTTGATGCTTCTGTGCCAAAAGCTATAGTTTCACAGTCAGTCCAACCACTGGGTGCTTCAGCCCCACCATTCCTTTATCCCATCTGCGCCTTCTTGCTTCCTCCCTCGCACCAGCTTGTCCCACAAACTGTGGTGAACAGACCCTGAACTGAACTGTTTCCACCACGTTAGTTCAATAGAACACTATTTCTCTTAGTCTATTTCCCCAAAACACTGTAGGCTGAAACAGCCAAGGGCAGGACAGGATAACAGCAGCAGCCAAAAGGCAGACTGCAGCATTAGCCTGGAGTTTTACACACAGATAATGTACAGGAGCTGCACTGCAAGCTGCTCCTGAAAGGAGATGGGTTTGCCCTCTCATCCCTTTTTGCTTCTTCCTCCTCTTCTGCACTTCTAGCTTGCTTCTAGCTGTGTGATCTTCCCATCCTTGCAGCAACTCTAGCATTCACAAGACACGATGAATTTACTGACTTAACTCACCAAAACAGCAGAAAGTTATCTTTTGCATTATTTCTTCTTTTATTAAATTCAGAGGGGACTGGATGATCACCAGGCATTGCTTAAAAAGGTCATGAAACCACACCCTTAGACATGTTCTTAAAGACTAAATTGGGAGGAGATCGGAGGGAATTTTATGCATCATTTATAAATCATCAACAGTTAGCTTCTTCCCAAAAGGCAGAGTCAAACTTCAATGACATAATAAAAAGGACAACAAACAACTGCATTTAATCCTGTACGTTTATTTATCTGAGATTCTTCAACAGGACAGATTCTGAGAAAGACTCAATAGGATACAAAAAGCACTGCAATTTCTGTCTGCCAGTCATCATCTTAAAAGCCTTAGAAACCAACATGCCATATTCAACAAAAAACACAACTAACAGGAATTAAATGTCGTTTTTTCACTTACATTAATAAAAAGAAACAATGTCTCATATAGAAAGAAGAAGAAAAACAGGTTTAAAACATGTCAGGAATAAGAAAAAATTAGAATGACAATTTACTTAATGACTATGTGCTAAACACACTTGACACTTAAGTGTCAAGCTTGACAAAACGCTGGTGTATTGGTAATAAATACACATTCATTTTAAAAGAGGTTTTAGGGAAGATAAGTTCTGCCAATCTCACGTTTGGACCTCCGAATTCAATGCTTTGTCACGAACTCTGCAGCCACTTAAACACTTGTAACTTCATACAGAAGAACACTCTTTGTTAGGCTGTCAAATTTGTAACGAGATGAAAAATTCACAGTCCCATGTCAGTGTTTGTTTAAACAAAAGGAGCTGGGTTTTTTTGACCATGTCAAGTATTTTGTGCCACACGCTTTATGTCATTATGGTACATAATCTAAGCATGTTAAAAGTTTCTTAAGACTATTTTACCTGCTATCAGAGTCTGAAGCAATTTCTTTTCTTCCTCCAAAACGTATCTGACACTGCAATAAACAGATTTTAAGAAATTTTTGTTACACTAAAAAACTCAATATTCTGAAATATTTCATATATAAGAAACAAAGTCATAACAAAAAAGGAAGCAGTAAAAAATAAGGCATTGACAAATACAGCCTGCAGCCAAAAACGCTTTACAGCATCATGTTCCACTAACGGGCTACTCTTGCAGTTCACATACATTCCTCCTAGCCAGAACAACACACCTGCAGGTCCTTCAATAAATTTAAAATTGCATAAAAATTACTACTTTTGAGTTTTAAATGTACATCCACAAAAACAAGCACTGCTCCTACTCAGCTCAGTGCTACAATTAAAGAAGAATCATTCTTTATAAAACATATCATGGGCTTACTTTTGAGGCATTCTTTTTCCTCCCAAACTCTCCTAAATTGAATCCAGTGTATGAAATTCTACTTGCTGAACTTCATGTTGATGCAAGATACACACATACATAAATAAATCCCATCTTTACCTGTATTTTAACCATTCACTAAAATCCTAGTGTAAAGAAAAAAAGCTGCTACTGTAAAATATTAATCAATTTAGCCTTTCCAGTACACTACAATTTAGTTCAGTCATATAAGTACTACAAACATATATATTTATAATATATGTTACATTATTACTGTATATATTTATAATATATATAAATATTACAAATATAAGCTGTCAAGAACAGTAATTTTAAACAAATGCTGTATAATAGCTGTTTGCTAGCAGACACAAAAACTCAGTAGTGTTGTGTAAAAGATAGGATTTCTTCTTTGTCTGGTAAAGAGGAGAAAAAAGGGCAAAGACAGTTCCTGCTAGTACTGACAACTCAGTCAGTGTACTGTAGAAATAGGTATCAGATTTCTTACCTGTTTAACTGCATCCAGTAGCCGTTCTAGAAGAAACTGTCTTTTAGTATCATTGTTCTGTGAACCTAAAATTCAACAAAATGATATCATTTTAAAATAAATAGTTTGGCTTTTTTTTTAAATACATTCAGGCCAACATCAGGGCCCTGAAAACTTTCTTCCCATGTCAATCATTCCATTAAACTTATTAATAAATTTTCTCTAAGTAAAATGATGTAGTATAATTTATGTTTTGAGGTTTCAAGTAGCCTTTCTGTAATATGCAGGTATACTGTTTGAAATACCATCTAGAGTCTTATTTTAGTAGCATTTTGGTTTCATGATACAAGGCATATCACGGCAACATCAAATACAGCACAACTGTGCACAATCAGCACAGCTTGCCCCTAGCTACTTAGCACAACCACCTGTGAGGCCATATTGCAAACCTGGAACTGACACAGTTTAAGATTTTTTAATTTTTTTGTAATTTTTTTTTGGTTGGTTGGATTAGGTGTATGATGGAGCTCACACTGCAACCCATAAATGTTCATAATGAGACAAATACCAGGGTATCATATCACCGTAGCAC